ACGATAGTTTGATCCTCTTTACCCCAGAGGTATTTAAACGAGAAGTGCAGAGGGGCTGAGGGCAGATGACATTTTGTTTTTATTACCCTTTTGCAGGATTTCACCCTCAGAATGACAACACTAATTCAACCACTGCTAATATGGCTGAAATTGTTTTAAAGTTTGCTTATGTTGCCCCTCCTGTCCCCATCTTTGACAGTCCCCGGCATCCTCAGGGCACAGCAGGCAAGAGGATTTCACCTCCACCCCACTCAGCCTTAGCTCTGCAAGTCGAATGTTCCCCACGAATCCTCATGCCGCTGCTATTTCTGTACTTATCTCTTGTCCAAAGTGTGGTCGTTTGTAGATTCTTTTGAAAACGCTCCTGAAAACAGATTTCCTTCATTCTTACATTCAATCAGTTTATGCCTTCGTATTTACAAGTTCTGTTGACGAAAGTCCTTGGCTCACGTTTTCTTCCTTGCGGATGTTAAATCTATGAGACTTTCTTACGTCACTGGGCAGCTCTGCGGACAAGTCTGACGGGGAGAACTCCGTCCTCCCCCTTTACGTCCTGAGTTTGTTTTGGTCTTGATGATGAAGACATTTCCTTTTGATTTAAGGTTCGGTAATTTTTGGTGTTTCTTTGAATAAATATTCCCAGCTGTTCTCTTTCAACATTAATTTCATTTTTGTTGCTAATTTCAGGAAGACTTTCCTTGAAACATCATTTTTTTTTTTTGGCCGGGGCTGGGCTTGAACCCACCACCTCCTGTATATGGGGCTGGCACCCTACCCTTGAGCCACAAGCGCTGCTCATGAAACGTCATTTCTAGTACTTCCTTTCCCTTTTATTTTTATCTTTAACGACTATTATTTGCATGTTGGACATTCTTTACCTACCTTCACTGTCTACTACTTCCTCTAGAATATATTTTTTTTATGATTTACATTATTTTGCTTTTTTTTTTTTAGAGACAGAGTCTCACTTTATTGCCCTTGGTAGAGTGCTGTGGCATCACAGCTCACAGCAACCTCCAGTTCCTGGGCTTAGGCGATTCTCTTGCCTCAGCATCCTGAGTAGCTGGGACTACAGGCACCCGGCCCAATGCCCAGCTATTTTTTTTGTTGTTGTTGTTGCGGTTTGGCCGAGGCCAGGTTTGAACCTGCCACCCTCGGTATATGGGGCCGGCGCCCTACTCACTGAGCCACAGGTGCCATCCTTACTTCGCTCTTTTTAAAAATAATATTTACTTTTGTGTTCTAGTTTAGTCTTAATATCTGGAAATATTTTTATGCCTTTATTGAGATATAGTTCACATAGCATGCAATCCCCTACTTAAAGTGCGGAATGGCTGTGAGTTATCTTCAGTTACTGCCTTTTTAGTTATCACCCCTACTCTTGCACCCCCCTAAACAACTATTATTTACTTTCTATCTCTGTTCATTCCCTTGTTCCAGAAATTTCCCATGAACTGAAGCATTATGAAGTAGAATATTCTGGTGTCTGAAGTTCCTCTCATGTTCTGTTGCATTAAGATAGAAGTGGAGGGCACACGACAGTATCTGGACACCGCACCATCTTGCCTTGACCAGATTTTTCTTTGTCTTTTTTATAGACTAGTAGACAAAATGGTCCCCCAAAGATAATGCCTAATACCCACCTGTAACCCTTGAATATATTACATGCAGAAGGAACTCTCTGCAGCTATAAATAAGATGGAGGGATTACCTTAGAAATCTGAGTGGGTCCCATCTAACTACGGATCTGGAGCACACAGGGCTCTGTGATCCACCCATGCTGGAGGGGGCCCCTGGGAAGCAGTGGGAGGAATGTGGGTGGCTTCTAGAAACCAAGACTTTCCCTCAGATGACAGCCAGCAAGGAAATGGGGAGCTCAGTCCTCCAACCACAAGGAAGTTAATTCTGCTCTAACCTAAGTGAGACTATAAAAACTCTTGTCTGGAGGCTCTTCCCCCTAGAACCTCCAGATAAGAGTCCAGCCAAGGTGAAAACTTGATTTCACTCTTGAGAGGCTTCAGCAGAGGACCCAGTTGAGCCACATTGTGCCCAGACTTCTGAGTACAGAGCTGTGAGATAATAAATAAATGGGTGGTTTTAAGCCACTAAGTATGTGGTAATTAATATATAAACATATCTTTTTTAAAAAAGCAAGCACAATTCTCAAGCAAAAGAGACTTTGAGCATAATTCTCTGTCCTCATTGCAAACAAATGATATAAGCCCTCTTTGAGTTCTTTGCTCAAGAATAATAGAATAATCTCTCCTCCCGTCTCTGCCCCACAGCATGCAGTTGTATTCAGTGAGGCCACATGGAGAGGTTTTCCCTCCAAGTCCTTCTAGAACACACTGGAATGGAGAATGGATTTCCGTGAGATCAAGACTCAACAGGGAGATCAATTATGAGGTTACTGCACTATCCAGGTCAGGGATAGTCACCTGGGGTTAGCTGGGGTGGAAAAAAGATAGAAGAGGGAGACATTTTTTTTTTTT